TTCTTTCTTTCTTTCTTTCTTTCTTTCTTTCTTTCTTTCTTTCTTTCCTCCCTCTCTCTCTTTCTCTCTCACTTATGTAGATGGTATTAAGTTCAACAGTTATGCCATGTTTGAAGGGACACCTATATTTTTGAAATGGATCAGCTCTTCTCCACATGACATACTCTAGGAAGATTGAATTGTGTTGATGGGAATGATCAGCCAGCACTAGAATCAGTTCACCTACCTATTTTGATCATGCTGGCAAAGATAAAAGCTAAAGTTACCCTGAACCTATAGGATTTTAAACGATTGAAGCATAGCCACATTTCATGGAACAATAAAAATCCATTATAAATACAGCTTTTTCTGTCCTGCATATAGGTCACCCTTGCTCTACCCTTAACGCTATAAAACTGCTATTTACAGGGATGCTATTGCCTCTTGAGACTATATCCCAAACCTGAGATACTTCTTTGCCCTTTCCTCTTTTGTGGTCTAAAATAGTGTTTCTCAGTTTGGACAACTTTAAAATGCATGGACTTTAGCTCCCAGAATACTTGGAATGCTGGCTGGAGAATTCTGGTAGTCGAAGTCCACATGAAGTTGCCAAAGTTGAGAAACCTAGTCTAAAGACAAAGTCTCCATTGTATCAAAGTTGACTCCTGTTGATGTTTTGGCAAGGTTGTACAGGTTCCTGAATAATGACAGAAAAGTGGCTTTCCATTAGCTTTTTCTGCAATGTTCTTTAGATGTTTCAGCCTAGCCCACAGGCACCCCTGGAATTTTTGTCCACAGCCAAGTAATAACCAGGTTTGATTTGACTCCTCTTTTGTGGTGGCTCAGTGGCTAAGATGCTGAGCTTGTTGATCAGAAAGGTTGGCAGTTCAGTGGTTTGAATCCCTAGCGCCGCGTAATGGAGTGAGCTCCTGTCACTTATATCAGCTTCTGTCCACCTAGCAGTTCGAAAGCATGTAAAAATGCAAGTAGAAAAATAGGGACCACTTTGGTGGGAAGGTAATGGTGTTCCGTGCGCTTTCAGCGTTTAGTCATGCCGGCCACATGACCACGGAGACATCTTTGGACAGCACTGGCTCTTTGACTTTGTAACAAAGATGAGCACCACCTC